ACGGTTGGCGATTAATATAAATACGTTTCATAAAGTTAATTTAGTAAAAAAAATAATAATTTCGGTTTGTTTAATATACCTATTTATAATCAACGACGATAAACTGCACAGCTATTTACTTTGTTCGTCGTCCGATATTGAAAACTGTTTGCAAATTTAATACACCTACAGCTTAAGTGCATGTTTGTATTTTAATATCGACGGTGAATTGATAAAAAAAAAAAAAAAAAAAAAGCAAAACATCTTTCCCTAATAAATTTACATAAAATATTGAAAATCACTATTATTTTTTTTCCAATTAAAATATCGCATTTTACATTGTTGATAATAGTACATAACTGTGTTTATATTACTGTAACCCTTATTGGAAATTTAAAAAAAAAAAATTAAAAATTCCCAACAGGTTAACCAAACCTGCAAGCTTTTACATAAGAGGATTATCATATAAGTAAGATGAAAAACGCATGGAAATAATATCAAGTTCTGTAGATACGTGTATAAGTATGATTGACATTTGTTTACTAACTACTAACAATTATTGTATTATACAGCATTTTAACGAACGTACGGTAGTATCATTTTTAGTGGTTGTTACGCACGATTTTTCGTACAATTCTATAGGTACTTAGATTTTGCAATAAACTTTTATATTTCTAAAACCGCCTGTTTTTAATTACATATTCTGAGATGCGAATTATTTTTTTTTTTTGAAAATGCGAGTATTTAACCAATAACTTGTAGCACCTGTTTAAGGATGTACTTAAATGAATTGTCATTATATTTATGTAGTCAAATCTTTTAAAATGGAATCGGTGGATATAAAAAAGAAGAAAAAATTACAACCTAATCGAGACTTGTTCACCTTTAGAGATGTCTAAAATTGAAATCATAAATGAAATGTCATGATATGAATACTTATAAAGACTGTTGTAATTTCGGTCGTTGACTGTTAAACAAATTATCACAAGATGCGATAATATTGTATGAGTAACAATAAGTAACAATTTAAGAAAATGTTATCCACGAAAAAAAAAAAAAACCGAAATAAACAGAAACAGTAAATATAAGTATAAGGAAAATAATACAAAAACCGACATTCAGAACGCGTCGACCAGACGATATTTGTAACCAGAAATCATTGGCTGAAGATTATTAGTTTACAAATTGTTCGCATACAGAAGAGGGCAGGAGAGAATCGTAATTCATAAAACAGTGTAAAAACTATAATACCCAATTGCTCGTTCCGAAGTTATTGGTTGGGTTGGAGTACCGGTTTTACAATGATGTTTATTTTATGTTTTTATGCGTACACTTTATCTGCTAAGCATATTCCGATTACCAAGTAAAGCACCTTTTTTGAAAAGGAAATGTTCTCATGGTAGTATTTTAGAGAGGTTTGAACCTTCCGAACTCAGCGAGGGAGCTATTGGTTTTAAAATGCTGTTTATTTTTTTATTTATTCTTTTTCTTTGTGATAGACTGTAGACACGTTTTTTCCTAGTAAACCTGATCCGATTTTTACGTGTAGCAACTTTTCTAAAAGCGCAAGTTGTCTTGACGGTACTTAAAAGGTCACTTTTTGTTTTTTGATTCCTCTCTTTAAATAAAAGCACTTGTATGGGGGAAAAACGTAGAAAAACGTACATTTTCAAGATTCCATTATTTTATAAAAACACTGATAACATTTTTCACCAGAGAAAATGATTTAATCGAAAAATCACAAAACATCTATTTTATTATCTTTTTAGTAATAATACTTAAATTGGACTTACTTAATCGCGGTAAACTTTTAAAAATCATCGGACGACTTTTTTTTTTTTTTAAGAAGCGTATTGAAATCAAATTTAAACGAAAATCGCAAAAAAAATTACGGCACTTTAAATTATGTAATACCAAACTGCGCTCGGAATCATTTTTCGTCAGTAATGGTTTATCGTTGCTTACAGGTAAAAATTAAAAAAACTTTTTGTATCCCACCTTTCCAACTACCAACCCACAACAGTGGCTGAAAGGGTTTCGTTCAAACAAACTACATAACGAGCTTTTAAGGGTCCTGTTTAGATTTTTTTTTTCTTGTTTACGAATCGATAATAATTGGTAATGACAACCTATTATGAACGATTATAATTCGATCGGTTTTAATCTGTGAAAAATAAGCGATAAATAAACGAAGTGTTTTGTTTTTTACAAACATTTTTCCTAGTATCTTAGTAGACGGACTTGCGCCAAATATTATGCAACGTTTATTGTTTTATGTTATTATTCGAAATTATATACCGGTGAAAGAGGCGTTTTCGAAAAAAAAGCGGACTTGCCTAAGTTTATTGCACTAAGCCTTTTAATTTTCAAATTAGTTTTTACTTTTGTTACTATATGTACACAAAACATTTGTGTTCAATTTTTTCACATATAAATTTGAATTACGAGTTTTTGAGGTTAAGGAAATTTAACATAAAGAGTTTTGAATAAGTTTACCGTAAATTTCCACGGGGTATTAACTATTTTTTTACTGATAAGAAATGTTTTTGTCCGAAAATCCCTGAGACAGTGAATATTCATTTAATTAGTATTTTAATATAGGAAAATACCACGAAAGTTTAATCACACTAATATCTTACTATATATACAGTATATGCAGTAAATAATACGGTATATTATATCCATTTGAAATAAAAATCAATTATTTGATTTCCGAGATTTTGCCACAATGTCCCGACGTTATTATCCTCGAGTAAATAAGAAAATCCACATTTCCAATCTAATAGGCACTCATTTTAGAGTATTATTGGTTTCGAGTAGAAAAAAAATCTAGATTACACACACACACACACAACTAATATTACAAGGTTATCATAACGATAAAGAAAAAAAAAAAATTGATAACCCGCTAGATTACACAATATTTTAAATCCATACGTAAAGAGAACGAGAGACGTTTTAAATTAGCTTTCGTACGATACATAAATAATATACCTATAAAAATAACACTCTTAGAAACTCGATAGAAAAAAAAAGCCCCCGAGAACAAAACTTTTTGTATTGTAATAAATGAGATATCAGATAACGGTTGATTTAGTGTGTACTACTGCAGTGTTTAGCTGTTGTGAGGCCGGTAAAAAAAAAAAAGTTAGCTTAATAATTCTTACGAAACTTGAAAAGAAAAAAATGTAATATACAATTGAATATTATGAAATATGACAGTTTTAAATATATTGGATTGTGCTAAGTGCTTTTCGCCGATCAATTTTAGTTTTGAAGACACGATCACGAGTGATACGCAGTTTTAGTTGTTTATAATAATAACTAAAGATGTCTATGTCCTAAAACATGTTTTAAGTTTTCATTCAGACTACTTCTATATCCAACCTTTTAATTCGATGAGCTTTATTGACAATTATTTTGCCAATGAACTGTTAAGTACACACATTTATGCTGCCTACAAACAAGACAAAAAAAAAAGTTTCAAAATCAAATTTTGACGGAAATCGTAATTATTACGGCCTTTCAAAAAATGTATAACTAAACTCCGTTCAGAATCGTTTTTAGTGAGCAATTTCATCCTTTACTTTCGAAAATTTTCACCGAAAACAGTAACTCACCCACTGTGAGACGTACGTCCGTTTGTTTTTTATTTTTTTTTTTTGTTGCAAGTCATTTGTGTCTTGTAGAAACATAGGGAAATTTACACAACTTCCTTTTAGATTTTTACGACGTTCTTCATGTACGGACCTACTTCTTTCGTTAGGTGAACTTGAAGCTGGTTGGCCCGATCCGGTCTTCAATAAAATTCCATTACTTGAAAAAGCCCAATCCAACTCTTGGTTTAATATTTGAAATTAAGCTTAACCCATCAAAAAATTCCATGATTTTAAAAAAGCCTGGTACAATTCTTGGTTTAATATTTGAAGCCCGGGCCAACACTCAAAATTATACGAAAAAAAGCCCGATCCAGTCCCTTTTCAATGTTTCTAATACCCCGACCCGGGGTCTAATGTAGTCTAATAGGCCGGGCTATTTAAGAACTGGTCTCGTTATTCTGTATAGTACTTCTTCGTTTGCTATTCTTTCTGTCTGCTTAACCTTAAATATTTTTAGATAATACCGCGTTTCAAAATCTTATAGTTTTCTTTCTTTTCCGTGTCGATTGTATAAGTTTCACAACCATACAGTACACTTTCAGGAACTTTTTTCTTACCAATAATGCCGTGCTATTAATGCTAGTGTTATCCCGCTATAACAATGTCTGATTTCCTTCGATCATTTTCCCTTATTTTACTTTTTAAATAACAGTGAAGTAGTGCACGTGTTCGTCTACGTGGTATATTTGCATTAAAAATTAAATGGAAATTTCATTTTTTCATTATGTCCATTTCAGTGAATCGAAATGGACGTGTTTTATGTACGGAGTACAAATTAAACTGTATTAGCCGTTTTTTTTTTTGAATTATCGTTTTTGTTAAATGCACTTTACTCAATAAAATTGAACGTATTATAAACTAAGAATGCGTAGGATATATTTAATTTTGTAAACCGTAGGAGTTTCAGTATTTCTAACCGTTAAAATTGATTTAAATTTAAATTTAATACTCTTTTAAATGTTTAATTTGGTTTTTTTCCGGTATTTTATGAAACACCGTATCGTATTTGTATACAAAAATATTTTGTTGAAATCAAAGAGCGGAATAATTACTATGCGTAATTTTGTTGAACCGGGAACTCTTAAGCATTTTAAGTGTGCACAAATCCGGTCTCTATTTCTTTTCGTTTTTTTTTTTTCTGCCGCAATTTTCTCGGTGAGGTTAAGAAAAAAAAATTATAATACTGTGAACATTAAATATCGTGTGCACTACATTTATAATATAATATTTTCCCGTATCACGTGTGTTTGTGCGCGAACCCATCATTTCCGGGCGTATCCGCGAAACCGCGAACGACAACGATAATAATATTCTGCGTATGTATTGTAGCGCGTACAATCGCGGACGGTTTCCACCCCCCCCTCCCCCCCTCCCGACGTTCAATTCGAAATTTATGGGACGAACCACTTATATGTATGAAAATGTTCGCGGATGAAAAACGATTTCGTTAATACATATACGTATATATGATATTATTATCAATGTCCGCGGCGGCGATAACCGTAAATCTGTCATCGGCGGCGCGGAGAATATTGTGTTTTTGATTTGCGCGGTGCCGGGTCTTCGTATTTTTATTATATTTTGCCGCCGCCGCCTACCGTATACGCATGTATTCGCATCGGTGTAATAATATAATAGTAATAATAATTTTCGACAAAACTTTCGTTTACGATGACACGGGCCCGACGTCGTTTTATCAATAACAATAACAAACACGCGAATCTATCGGTTATGTTCGCCTATACCGGTGGTTCCCAAACTATACATTATCCGTGTATACTTCCGTGCAGTTTACCGTGCTCCGTACGGCATTTCGATCGCAACGATTCAGCGTTGTATTTCTGATGCAAAAACACCGGTTTAGTTGTTATACCCTACTTCCTATACCTTTCGAATTCGCACACCCATAACAGTGTGTCCGCCCGTCATTCGAAGTATAGGTCTGTATCTTTTTCCGTAATTATATTTATGTAGTACACGACGATCGTAATGATAATTAAAGTTCGGATGATGAAACTCGACGGAATATTCGGGAAATAAAGACCACTTGAAATAAAGCGAAATAGCATTAATATTTTTAAAATCTCATCGTGAGACTACTAGTTTTGTTTTATTCATTTAGTTTACTATACGAAATCGTAGCAAATTATATGACCGACAATCATCGTTGTTGCCGAAGCACTTTAAAGTAATGATTCCGCTTGATTTACAAAATTTGTCAAATCAATCGCTGGCGTATCAGATTTTTCCGCGCTATTTATTTCAGTTTTTATGAATCCGAAGTTGCTTTTAATGTACCCTAGATTTCCCTATATTTTTTAAAATATTCAAGTAAACCGCCGCAATAAACCCAAGATTTATGTGGGGCCAGCGGGATTTCAGAATCTAAAATGTCTAAGCGTTTGAACCGGTTAGGGGGATTTTCGAAAACGTTTTCTTACGCGTTTGATACAGGATCGTTGACGTTTGGTATTTGCGTTCTTATTCGTTTAGCTAATGAATGTACATGTTACATGCACAACTGTCGAATAACGAACTCAACTCGATGATTTCTCCTGCATTTACCTATGCGCAGCGCGGAATCCGATAAAATAAGTATAACAAAGTCGTTTTTGGCACCTCCGAGTCGAATACTATTTGAAAATAAAATTATCTTTTTTTCGTCCGCAACCACTTTCAAATTACATATTTTGCAAAGCATGACATAAACATATTGACTGCATTATCGCAAGTAAAATATCTTCCCTGAATTACCGAACTAAACCACGTGCAGAACGTGAACTTTTCACATGTCGAAACGGTTGACGCGACAATGAAAAACGACTGAACACAAGTCTAAAACGAGTAATTTCTTTTCCGGATCATACCGATTTTATCTTTTCTGACATTGCGTGCAAACCGATTTTGTTCATTACCGCTAAACAAATTTTGACCTTTCAACTACTACAAGTGCGCATACATATAACACGTGTTATTGAAACAAAATCACTAAAAATAAAAATAAAACATATTTTAAAAAAATACCCACTACGTCCGAACTCTAATATCTAATTATATTAATTTTGAATGCGTGTTTGTATAGTTCATTATAAAAACTATTCGTGAAGACCCAGTCTAACCGCGGATATTATCAACAGAGAAAAAAATAATAATATTGTCATGTCGAACGAAATCGTTTTGCAGCCATACGCGAACAGAGTGGCAACATTACGTAAAGTTCTAAATACCATTGGTAATCGTCCGTGACGTTAAAATAATGTTATCGACAACTTGTTTACGGTACCCTGTAATTTAATACGCATCGTACATATTATATTGTATTTATTCGCTGACGAACTTAATAACCGTATGCAATAAAATTGTTTTCGATTAAAAAAAAATACACTCGACAATTTGCGTCATTTGTGCGTTCTAATCTAAACGAAAAAAAAAAAAACATTGATTGCATATAAATAACACGAGTAAATGCTGAATTACAATATTCTAAATAAAAATATTGCCGAACTTTTCTTTACTTACGCAAGTCCCGCACACGTACGATTATTATTCTGCGGGAAGCTCCGTTTAATTATATGATGATGATGATGTTATTATTTCGACTTTTACAAATGCGATCAACAGAGCAATTACCGTAACGAAAATCTGATGTCGGCCGTAATTTATTATCTGATAATTGGGTACTTCGCATTAAAATTGTTATTTTGACCATCACGCGCGGATAAATGAGAACAACGAGACTTCCGACAAGTTTAAGGCTATTAAACGATAACACGAATACTAAAAACAATTACATTATATCACATTAGTACTATTATTATTATCGTTTCTGATTTCCTCGCGCACTTCCGACTTGCATATTACGTTACGAATTTGTTTACAAATTTGTCGTAATTCGAAACTCTAAATTCATAACACCTCTTTTAACATTCCGAAACGGTGTTTCAAATTACCGGTGCCGGTGGAAACTCATCCCGTCACCCGTATCGGGTTGAAATGTACTTATAGACTTCAAATACATGCGTGAGGCGATCGGGCACAATCTGTTCGTATCGGTTACCCAAAAATCTACAAAATCGTAACTCCGCGTTTACACCCGAAAACTGTATTTTTATCTCCGCGTACACGGGGAAGCTTACCTGAGCACACCGTATATATTCGTATATATTATGTTAGTTTTGTTCGTACAGGACGTTGGCCGTTAGGCATCCGTATTCGTTTAACGATTTGATCCAACAGATGACAGGATTTAAGATTAAAAACATTACTTTTTTTTTTGTTTTAAGTAATTGTAATGTAGAATCGATATTTCAAAGTACTCGTATAGTCGTATGTTCGAAAATACGCAGTTGCCCGTCATTTAAATGGGGAACAATACGGATTATGTATTTTTTTTTGGTTTATGACATACCGAAAGCAATACGATAAATCATCGTGACCGAAAAACGATTCTGAACGGTGATTGGCGAACTGGTATGGTAATAATATATTATTTGTCCGCTTGTAAATAAATTAACTTTGAAATCGACAAAAAATACTAATGGTAAACGTGTAATTTCGATTCTTATAATTATTACGTAAAAAAAAATGAAAGCGTATTTAATCAGGTGCCGGAGAAATAGGTTTTCCGAGAAAAAAAACATTGTACGGTTTGCACGTAGTATCTAAAACAATTTTTAATATTGAATAATCGTTGTTTATGGTTGTAATTATGCTTCTTAATAAAATATTATGTACATATATTTGATATTTATAAACCGGTACAAATTATGGGCGTATACACGAATTAAATGCGAAAACCGTTACGATTTTAATCTTTTGACAAGCATATGACTTTATTAAAAAAATTCGTGTTACGCACGACTTAATTAAAAAAATTCCTCCTCCGAAAAAAAAAAAAAAACAGTTTGATATTTTTATATTTTAGACATTACCTAGGTATCATTATACGAAAGTAATAATACTGTCCTCTTTAGGCTATTGTACAATATTGTGTCCGTTATAATATTACATGCTTTTTTTTTCCCCCACTACTTTCGGACATTCTAAGCGGTTCGCTTTGGACCAAATGAGTTCAAAACTCCTCGGATATCAGACTTGATATATATATTTGGTTGAATTTGAGTATGAAATTCATCGTATCGTTGCGGTCTCCTACGGATTTCCCCCCCCCCCCCCCCAATGTAAAACAAAGGGTATAACATTTTGTATATGTATTCCTGTAAGAATTGACGGACGTGTCTTTTGAGGGTTTAATCCTCTGCCCTAAGCCCTTTTATGCGCACATGGCACATTTACTTTTTTCACAGAAAATGTCGAGTTTTAATTGCCCTTAACAACTGAAATGTAATGAAACTCTAGTAAAGTGGAAACCATAACTATTTCAGACTGATATTATACAAAATAAATGAAATACTGTAACGGTCACAAGTCGGCCGAGGGAAAGTTCGTCTTTATAGTTACAGAGCTTGCGGGTGTTTATAATTGATTGGATTGTTTAGAGGATTGAAAACGGTGATCTTTCCTCTCTCTTCAACACACGCCCAACATAAGAATTTAAACGTATTTTCGTTTTAACGTCTGATTGATCTGCTGAAGCGATGAGAATTCTGGAAACAGATTTAAATTTTTCGCCAAGTTTACTCGAGATTGATTTCCTCGCATTTTTTCCCGTATTTCCTTTGGTCATATTAAAAAAAAGAGTAAGTAATCAAAAGCGAAAAAAAAAATAATATTTTCGTTTTCGGAGAAATCAACGGTAAAAAAAACCGGAATATCGATCTCAAAATTAAATCTGTTTTTAGGATATTATTATCGGTTCACTTGAACGATCGGTAACGAAACTGCATCTAAATTCCTATGTTGTGCGTGTGTTAGACAACGTTTCCGTCTTTGTCTGCTTCCAATCTCCTTAGGAGCATAAAAACCGCATATTTATAATAAAAAAAAAAAAAATATATACTCTGCAATAACAGCCGTATAGATAAGAGAATAATGTTATTAAATATCGAGAACCTACTTAAGTGTAAACGGTTTTTTTTTTTTTTTTTTTTTTTAATCAAGGAAGTATTATAACCGTTCTGATGATCTATCTAAACCGTACGTACTTAAAAAAAATCGTAATCGACCCGAACTATGTTCTCGCGAGAATGATATCGCTTAATGCGTTATAATAGGCGTATTGTAAAACACGGCCTTATAATTAAAATGCATACTTATTGCGGTTTGTTACGTTGTTATTAATAACGGTGGCGTTTCGATAGAAAAAAAAAAAAAAAATATGAAATATGATGCGATATGGTGCAAGCGATAAAATCGCGTTTACGGTGTTACGTTCCATTGAAATAACGCAACGTGTCGATCGAATAACGTAATAGGTAAATTTACATTTGATTTGTTTTGTTTTTGTACGTATTTTGGGACGTACGTAGAAGCGCGCGCTAAGAACGCGCCGGGCGTTTATTGCCGTGCGCGGGTTAACGGACCGTACCCGGATTCTCGTTTATCGATTGTTACGGACCGACCGACCGGCCGCCGTACGCGACTGCCCGCGCGTATCGCGACTGCCCGCGCGTATCGCGACAACCCACCGCGGTGGATGAAATTCCGACCCGCGTATACGGCGACAACGCGACCGCGTCGTTTCGCGCGACTCGTTATCAAAGGTTTACGCGCGCGCGCGCGAGAAACAAAACGCGACGCGTTTCCTTGCACGCAGCGTGCTCAACGGTCCCGGCTGTTGCCGTCGCGCGTATTCGGCTGGCGGCTCGCGGGGTTCATTGCAGGCGGGGCGCGAACATTTCCCTCATTTTGCACTATCACGACTTCGATCTCGCCACCGATTTCTGTTGATTTTCCAAATAAAATATAATTCATTTTGAACGAAAAACGATAGCAATACGAAGTCGCTAAGACCGACGAAATCCCGCGAACCGTCGTAAAAATAGAATCCGGGCACGGTCCGACCGTGCCCGGCAACGCCGTATTAATTCTCGGCGAAAAGTGGGGGAAATCTCAATACCGTTCATCACGGGCACAAATTCGTCGTGCCCGCCGCCCAACGCCCGTATCGTCCGCATGAGCGCCCGTATTTATTTTGATTACATTTTTTTTTTTTTTCTATAATATTTTCAAATAATACGCCAACTATATTATTACGATGGAAACACCGACTCGATTCGAATTTAATATAATTTTCCTTCTTTCTTTCGATTTCGTGGGTAGGACACGTGCCCGTGTGCCCCCATATTACGAGCCGCCACTGCACGTATTCCAACGTCGCCGTGCCGCGGTAAATGGCTACGGAGGTTTTGGGGATTTCGGCCGCGCCGCGCGTACGGCAGCGCTGTCGGACGTGTTCCCGGACGGTTCGACGGGCACCGTAAACGATAACGACCCGACCAACGGTATTGTGTCGCCCCCGCGAACGTCCGGACGTCGTTGTGACACGTCGCGCGGGGTTCGCACGGTGACGGTTTCCCTATAGTGAAAATCCGACGTCGACAGTTGCGACCGGCCGAACGTCCCGACGGGGTCGGGCGGCCGTTCGCGGACGCGTTTAGCCGTGCGCCGTTCGGTAGCCGTGCGCCAAGTCCGGGGAAGGACCGGCGAAATACGCGCGCATCGGATAGCGAGACGGGGGGGGGGAAACGAAAAAAAGAAAGTTCTTTTAACGATTAACGTCGGCGTCGGCGAACAAATTCGTATCTCTCGATCGGAACGTCCCGGGCGCCGGCGAAAACAATACGCAAACGCCAATACTCCCGAGCCCCGATCAACGCGGAACTGCGTAATATTTCTATATTTTTTAGTAGGCTCTGTAATACTACCGCCTATACGTTTCGGTGGTGTACGCGCGCCCGGTCTCACCTTCAGGTACACATCGGTTATGGTGT